CACAATTGGAGTAAAATAATATAATTGTCAATTATTGGTTACTTTAAAGATTATTTTAAAAATAATTAATTAATTAATTAATTAACTGAATACTTAAATTTGTTTTAGTTTGTATATATTTTAAAAAGGTTAAGTATTTTATGATATATATTTGAGAAAAAACTCGTCGGACTTTTTCACTCAGTCGGTTCAGACTTTTCTGACATGACACTGTTTTACACTTTTACAATTTATCTCTCATGGCAACCATTCCGTAGTAACTACAAATTAGGTATTTATTTTATTGATTTCTATAAACTATAATCAGTTATTTCTAACAAGACAAATATTTACGCGTATAAAGTATGTACCTAATATTATTTCAATAATATTTATATTTTTCGTATATCATATAATACCTAACGGACATAAATCAATATAGATACTACACTGTACATTATACATACCGGAGTTTCATTCGCCGTGAAATAAGTAATATAATACCATAATTAAATTAACTAGTAAAGTAGTAAACCTAGGTACTTAATTTCTTTCAATTTTGCACACCGCGGGTATGCATACCGATAGGTACTGTAATTTAATATGTTTAGGAAGGCCTACGTAATCGATACAAAATTTGTTTTCTTTGTTATTTACGCACGTAGAGTAATATAGGAACAAATACAAATCGCACTTTCAACGATTNAAAAATTTAAAAATATTTTCAAATAATTAACTAAAAAGGTTAGGTTAGGGTCAAGTCAATATGCATGTCTAGTTGCAATCGTCTCTTTTCTATGGCCTTGAAATATTCTTATACTGTATAAGCACACTTTAAAGAACGTCGTATAATATTTCAATTATCGATTGTCGTGATCATCTCATCACCATTTAGGGAATTTTTGAAATAAACCATTCAATTAGCGTATATCGAAGCGTTCGACAAGTATCGCATAATTTGTTTTGCTCCTAGGAACTATGAAAACAAATTTACTAGAAATAGTTACAATCATGTCATATTAAATGACAAGATAGGTACGCATATTATAGGTTTTTCTCTTTTATACCACATGAGTAAAGGAATGAGCCGTCTAGACTTACGCTCTCCTCGAATATCCCTTTAAAGCTCTTCTAATATTTTTGGCTATACCTTTTTTGTTCTTCTCGTCATATTATATAATTATGAGCAACAATGGGTGATTTATGCAAAAACAAATTTTAACCAACGGGGTGGTGGGGAGATCTATCACACATATACTCAACCCCCCTCTGTAGATTAAACACTGCTTCTGAACTAGGTGGCATATATTATCTTAAAAATGTATCTATAATTATTAATTCTCAATCCTAATCGCTAGTAAAATAATATATTTGCCGATTGCCGGGTACTGTAAAGATTAATCAACTGAATACCTAAATTTGTGTTAATTCGTTTACATTTTAAAAAGGTTAGGCGCTTTGTGATATATTTTTGGGGAAAAATCGTCGGACTTTTTTCACTTATTCGGCTCAGACTTTTCTTACCGGACCGTTTTACACTTTTACCATTTATCTCTCGTGGTGAATCATTCAAACGCAGTATTGCTAGATTGGAAAATTAAATATTTCACTACACCTTCAGAAAATACGAGAAATTTACGCCACTGATAATATAGTAGGAACATCATAATACGTGAACATCATACATTCTATTCTCTTTCTTTTTTCCTGATATATATATATATATATATGTAACTCTTAAACTAAGAGACATGCATTATCTTAAAAATAGATCTACACCTATTAATTCTCAATCCTAATGTCTAGTCTTAACAACAATTATAATCATAAAATATTATAAATAGACATAGTCGTTCAAAATGGCCATCAGCGACTATCCCCCTGAATACAATCCTAAAGTACACGGACCGTACGATCCAGCGCGTTATTACGGAAAACCCGACACGCCGTTGTCTCAAGTGAAACTGGGCGATCTGCGTGAATGGATAAGCTGTCGTAATAAGTCTCCGAGAGCGATTGCCGGCGTATTTTCCAGGGCTTATTGGAGATGGTCACACAAATACGTACAACCGAAACGTACGACGGTCGCTCCGTTGATTCATATCATCGCCGGCTCGATGTTGTTTTTCTATACAATCAACTACGGAAAAATTATTCGTCATCGTAACTACAAATATCATTAACGGTGTTAATACCATATTTTACAAGTTATCGATAGTGTAATAATATTGTTAACTAGTAAAGTTTATACAATATTTAGTTTCCTAAAAAAAGTATGTACAGTTTGTATCTCTAAATATATTTTGTGTATTTCATAACCAATGGATTTGTTTCAAATAGTTGGGATTTTATGTTGAAATACGTGAACTATATACATATAAAACTAATTTTTAATTAATAAAATGAAATATTTAAGTAGGCAATAAGAATCCTTAGCCCCGGGCGCTCCTAGTCTAAAAATTCCTTAGTCTTAATTTATAATCATTATAAATATCTAAATCTCTCACCTCTATTGTTCAATATTGCACTGGAGAAATTCGTACGAGGTGTACAAAGGATAATTATGGTGTCGACATCAGAACAAACAAGATTGGTATTTTAGATTTTGCGGATGATAAATTACCGCAGCCCTCATTATCGAAGCAAAAACCGTAAGGCCTATTTTAAATGATAATTAAACCATAGTGATGGAGTTATTACCCGAAAACAACCAGGTAGACAATTTAGTGATTCAAGGGCATACATTTGAAAAAGTGCGTCAATTTACATATCTGGGGACTTCTATCAGTGGTAATAATGACTGGTTCATCGAATTAAATAGCCGAATCGTCAAGGCAGAAAATGCATCTTTTTCATTAACCAAATACCTAAAATCTAAACTGTTTTTTAAATGAAACAAAGTACATCTTTACACGGCGATAGTTAGATCGACGCTAACATATGGATGTGTTTTATGGACTTTAACAAGCAGAATGGAACAAAAATTTGTGTCGTTCGAAAACAAAATACTGAGAATCATCTTCGGCCCAGAATACCACAACGATCTGGAATGTTGGCGTAGAAGAATGAACAAAGAGACCCGAGAGTTTACAGGAGTACCAAGGATAACCAACTTTGTAAAAGCATAAAGAATAAATTGGTTTGGGCACGTGATGAGAAAGTCTATCTCAGTACCTTAAAGCGGTGGTCGAATGGAAACCCACAGGGAAGAGACCAAGAGGACGTCCAAAGAAGCGGTGGATAGATGACACGAAACAGGACTTAGAGAAACTAGGGATACCAAATTGGGAAGAAAAAGTATAGAGTATTTTATTAAATTTCCCCTATATAAGGTAATAGGTTTAATTCAATAAATAATAATGTATTATATTATCTAATATGTATAAGTACCTATTTTACATTTTATAAATGTAATTAAAGTTTTATTTGTGACTATATATTTTTTTTAAGATTAATTTTGGTTTTAAAAAACAAAATTTGCTTATAATTTAGATATTTTTATAAAGTTTTTATATAAAATATTTTCATTTATATTTATCGAATTATTTAAATTTATGTTTACAAAATATGAAAATTAGGCAAACACACAACAAATAAATAAATAAACAACAAATTATTAAGCATAAAAACTAAATTTTAAAATTAATTTGAAACAAATAATTGAACAATAATTAATTAAATAGGATTTAAATAGTTTATTTTCAATAAAAATAGGTATACAATTATAAAATTAATTTGTCTTGTAATGTATAATTGCAACTACAATTAAATAATTTTAATTCGATTTCATAGTAATTAAATTTCAATATTCTTTCTTTATCTATGAAAACAATAATTTTTAAACTTTTTCAAACTTGCCAATTACGAGTATAATTTTATCGGTCTTTTTATAAGTACATCCCAAATAAACAACATATTGATCTACGAAATTTTTATCGGCTGCTGATTTAAAATGCATTTTACATGTGAATATAATTAAATTCACTGATATGTTTTTTTTTTGCTTTGAAATTGTATGGTGAATAAATATAGTGTTATTAAACAAAAATATAAAATTACTGTATAGATGAACACTGGTGTTCAAAACAAAAATATATTTTAAATTATCTTCTTTCATGCAGGTGAGTCAATAATTGAGGTAATGATAATTAATAATTTGTTTATTGTGCCTTTCCACAATCACATAAATAGTTATAAATAAACATTGCATGCAACTAAGATTCAATATTGTTTGGGGTATTGAACTTGCTTTATCTACAATATTGGTAACAAATATGAAATAAAAGCTAATTATGGCCAATCCGTTCAATATATTTTCATTTGATATCTGTAGCATTAATAAACACGTTGTCGAATTTTAAATTATATGGGAAATCTATGCAATTTGATTTGATTTAATTACTCTATCTGAATTATTTTATGCCTAATAGTATTAAAGAACAAGTTATTTTTTTTAAAATTCAATAGTTTTACTCTTTGTAACAGTTATTAAAAAAACTACAAAGAAAATAAAAAAATGACTTTCCCATTCACCAACTGGTTTAAAAAGATCTCTTGTTGGTTTTCTATTAGAGTAATATTTGTGATTTGCATTTCTCATTTTCAGAAAAGGTGCTACATTTAATAGATCGAAACAATATTTCTGATGGAAAAGTCGCTCACAGGCTCAGATCATAGAAAAACCAATACAGGGTGTCCCACGAAGATATTATACCCAATGTTATATCTCCGGGGATAATTATGATAATCAAATTTTGTTTTTTTTTTTTTTTTTTTTATATTATTTAAAGGGATTAGTATTTCAATATTTATATTTGAATTAAATTTTTATATTTTGGTAAAAATATCATTTTATTTTATTATTTTTGAGAAATATTTATTTAATAATAATATTAATTTATTATTCATTCTTCTTTAATGCGATCTCTCCCCTCTAACCAATTTTATTAACGAATTTAAAGCTTTGACAAATCCACTTTTATCTCTCCTCACCACTGTTCTCGATCGCCTACTTACCCAAAATGTCAAATAGTCCTTTTACCTCACAATCTTTAATCATCCTATTATGGAATGCTAACGGTCTAGCAAACCACAGAAATGAATTAATAACAACTCTAAACGAAAAAAGAATTGACTTAGCTTTAATCTCAGAGACCCATTTTACCTCTAATACTAAATTTTCAATTCCTGGCTACACGACAATTCCAGCTAACCACCCTGATAACACGGCCCATGCAGGTGCAGCGATTCTCATCAGGTCACCTATTCAATTTACACCCCTTCCCAGTATTAATGAAGACTTCCTTCAAGCTGTAGCGATAAATATTAAATTAAACCATACCCCAATTACTATGGTGGCGTCATATTGCCCACCTAAACACAAAATTACGCAGACACAATTTGAAAATTTCTTTAACTCCTTTGGTCAATACTTCGTCATAGGGGGGGACTTAAATGCCAAACACCATTCATGGGGTTGTCATACATCTAACCCAAAAGGGAAATCTCTACTAAAAGCAATTAACAATAAGCAATTATCTGTTCTTGCCCCTCCTAACCCTACATACTGGCCATCATCACTAAGAAAACGCCCGGATATTCTCGATATATTTGTTGTCCAAGTCCCTCCAAGATTGAATCATCTAGTTACAAACTTATTGGTCCCGTGTTCCGACCATTCCCCAGTTCTCTTATGCTTAGACGCCTCACCTTATCTTCAACCTGGTAAATCATCACTGATAAATGGTGTTATGGACTGGGAAAATTTTCGTGATATTTAATTAGTTTCTTATTTTAATTTATATTCAGACAAATGTCCAAGTGATATCGATGATGCTGTTCTTGATTTTACTGAAATCATCCAGTCAGCTGCGTGGAACTCTACCGTCCACCGGAAGAAAAATTATAGCTCTAACCAGTTGTTGATTCCTGCATATG